ACACCCTAAAAACCTCAGAAAAGCTGCTCTAAGCTTGGGATGGAAGGAGAAGGAGATTTCTAGCGTGAGGATGGTGAAATCTTGCGGATTCTTGGCAAAATCTACCGTCGGGAAGCCCGGAAAATTGAAATCGAAGTCAAATCTTTGTGTAACTGCTTGGCGCGCCAGGTAGGCTATGTTTTATGAATTGAGTAGTTTGAATTTGTGCTCACCATGTAATATATGTAAATCAATGGTAGGATTTATGTGTAGACCTTTGTGCACCGAGTGAATTCCATGGGTAATTTCTAGAAATCAAAGTAATTGGGTTTATGCCTTGAGAAGAGAAATTGATGACTTGTTAGAGCTTCTAGAATTGCTATATTGGATAGAATTGTTTCAAGAATAAGAATATGAATTCATAATTAGAACTAGAATTATGAACGTATGCGAGACCATAAATTGGAGTGATTGATTTGAAGATTTATGATGAATTGTGAATAAACCCTAGAAGAAGCTTTAGATGATGAACTAGGGCTAAGTATGACAAATTAACATATGTTGATAATGTTGCATTGTTGATCACACTTGTTGTGAATAAGATGGGTGAATTATCATTGACATGAATTCATTACTAAAATGTATGATCTTGAGGATATACTTGTGTTTGTGATTGTGATATGTTGAATAGATCGGTTGCCACGTTCCGGCATAACTAATTCAGATCGGTTGTCACGTTCCGGCATAACTATTGGATCGATTGCCACGTTTGGCATAACTATGAGATCAGTTGCCACGTTCCGGCATAACTAACTGTTTGGATTTGGGTTCCATGAGAGGACCAATGACGTGGCATAATTGTGTGACTTGAGAAATGTGAAATTGTTCGTTGTTTGTAAATATTGTTAATGTTGTGTTTGCTCAATATGCGTTTGGGAGTATATAGTTGAATTTACCTATACATATTGGACGAGTTGGATATAGTGGAAGGGCAATTGTCAAGGGGCGAGTAATAAATGGTAAGGAAAGTTATGGTGTTGTAATGGCGAGAAGTAGAGGTAGCATGTGTGATGAAATATGTTTAGGTGGATTTCACCTGGGGGAAAGAGATGGAGTTTAGTTTTAAGAGAGCTTGATGTAATATATTATGTGACTATGGTTGGGTAATGTGACTAGGAAGTAAGGGTATGACATGAACGGTTAGTCGAAACATTGGTGTTTGTATTTGGGAAAATTTCTCTACGTGTTGGAATGGTTAGACTATGATCAAGTACCTAATAGGTAGGTTGATAGAGAAGGATGTTTATAGTCAGACTACTAGTGTAAATTGGAGATATTTCAAGAAAGGGGTAAAGGTGGAGAAGCGAGTGGTTTATGTCATGATCTTACTAGTTGGTTTCTTTTGTTAGAGTGGTGGGCGTTGGGTTGACTGATGATGCCTATCAGTACGCGTGTTTTTGTACTAATACTACTCTTGCTATGTCTTTTTGACATAGTCTGAATGCAGGATTGATGTCGTTTCATTAGGTGTAGACGAAGGAAATCTCCAGCAGCTTCTATTCTTCCTTTCGCATGGTGGGAGCTGTGTCTTTTAATTATTGCACAATTGTACTCTTAGTAGCTCTTGTACCTGTTTAGACTAGATCCATGGGAGTTGTTTAAATCACTTTACAAGTTTAACTAATAGTGTGTTAAAGGATATTATCTATAAAATCATAGTATTATCTTATTTATTTTTGTTTTCTTAAATTTTTCCGCATGTTTAACTAATTAGGATATAAGGGTTCTCCTACTTAGCTGTTAGAGGAATCCGAAATCTAAATAAGCCACAAAAAGATAAAAGTGACCAAAATAAGCCAATATTCTAGTAAGTAACTAAAATAGGCTTAATGGAAGAAAAAATTCCATTTTATGCAATATTCCAAACGTTTTTTGTTAGTCTCATGACGTGTATATTTTAATATATAACATAACTATTTTTTACACTTTGTAAAGTGTAAGTTTTTCTTACACTTTGTAAAGTGGAAGTTTTTCTTACACTTTATAAAGTGGAAGAAAAAAATATGTTTTATAAAGAGGAATATTTTTCAAGTATTGTTATAGGAGAACGTTATTGACTAGTCTTAGGCTCCTTCCTAACATAGATTTCAAGTATTGTTAACTTTTGATATATGTAGTCATTTTGAACCCTCAAAAAGTTGATCAACGATTCGTCATTATAGATAATCCACTCTCCAAAATTTACTTTTCCTTGTGATAAAAATGAAGTGGGGTATTTTTCGACTATAATCAATATTATTTATACCCATTCTTTATAAATTGATGAAAGAAATTTATGATATCGGACATTAATTTAATACTTTACATTGTATTTGGGATGACACTTGTAATAAATGGTATTTCCGTCATTTATAATTTTGTCATCCCAATAAATCGAAACTCTAACTTTTTGGTTCAGAAGACATCTTTTTGTGATTGAAATGAAGAAAAATAGAAGCCTAAAGATGTTGAAGAGCAATGTTTGAACGTCCTTAAATAAAGCTTGGAGGAGTTTTCAAAATAAAAATAATAAAAATACATAATGTAATAATGTTTTTTCGTTTTTATGATATGTCAAATCAATATAATTGTATGACAAACACTGCAAAAGTTTCATAAAGAGATACAATTTAATGCAAAACGTGAAAAATATTTCTCTTTATATAATATAATTTTTTCTTCCACTTTATAAAGTGTAAGAAAAACTTCCACTTTACAAAGTGTAAAAAAAACTTCCACTTTACAAAGTATAAAAAATAGTTCCGTTATATATTAAAATATAGACGTTATAAGATTAACGGAAAATGTTTGAAATATTGCATAAAATGGAATTTTTTCTTCCACTAAGCCTATTTTAGTTACTTACTAGATTAGTGACTTATTTTGATCACTTTTATTTTTTTGTGGCTTATTTAGATTTCGGACTCGTGTTACAGTGGGTGCCCGCACGGCCCGGTAATTTGAATCGTGACAAAAAGTGAACGGATCAATTTCATTTGAATACCAAGTTGCATGGTACTCTGCACCTATAATTAAAATTTTGAATATAATTAATGTACGGAATAAATATAAATATATAAATAGAGACAACAAAGAAAAGCAAGGTAACAAATGCTATGTTATGATTATTATAAACGGCTCGCCATATCGTTCATCAATATATCGCCCGCCTACTAGTGGTATTATTTGTATAGCCAAATATTGGAATGATTGTCCTTGGATGCCGGCTGCATTGTTAGCACATAAATGCATAATAACATCGCGTTTCGTATCCGTGAGCGAGTGTCAATCGCACAATAAAAACTCTTTTTAAACTATTGAGCTATAACAACTTCTTTTGTTAAGGGTCTAAAATATACTTCTTTTGTTTCTATTTACTTGTCTAATTTTGAATTGACACACCTATTAATAAAACAATTATTAATATAGGGAGTTTATCATTTTACCCCTATTAATTAGGAAGTGGATGAATTAAAAATTTAAGATTTTCAAGAAGTTCTACCTTTTTCAAAGTAACTAATTAAGAGTATAATAGGTAAAAATATTTTGTCTTTTCTTGATTTGTCAAAATAGACAAGTAATTAGGGACAACTAAAAAAAGAAAAGTGGACAAGTAATTAAGAATATAAGAAGTATTATTTAATAACTTTATATATCATTTTACTTGTATATATAATATATTTTTTCGACGAAAGGTGTTTCTATACATATAAATGCTCAACGACCACAAAGTGACTACTCAGTATTATAGCGTAAAGTCATTCACACTCAGCAGAAACGCACCGACTTGCCCAAGTGAACAACCGCAAATCCCGCCTGCTCGCGTTGGGCAAAGAGAATGCCACTTTGACACTACATCACCATATTTCACACAATCTAAGACATGATTTAATTATCTTAATAACACTTAAGCAATATGATGTGATGGTTGAGATTTCTTAACCATTAATAAAAAATCTAATTGGAAAATCTCGTGATAGTGAAGCGAACTTGACACTACTTCCTCCGTTCATTTTGTTGAAGTGTGTGATCATCTCATCTAAAAACTTAAGTTGTTAGAGAGAGCACACTTTTATTATTTGATTATATTCTCAACACGCCCCCTCACGTGCAAGCCTGATTTTTTTTTCATGGGCCAAGCGTGTGAAAATTCTTTTTGATTTGGATAGCGGTGAGATTCAATCTCAAAACCTTTGTCAACCCTGATACCAGTGTTATGGAATGGAAGAAACTAGAAAGAGAAATTAAAGAGAGAATAAATGATAACTCTTTGTATTGATTCTTGCATTGATTCAAATAGAAGAGTACATCAGTATTTATAAATAATTAAGGAGGATAAAATATATTATTTTCCTTCTAGACACTAAACTAAAAGGAAACTAAATGTTTTGCAATTAATGTAAACCCCAGACTTCAAAGGAAAATAAATACTATAAAATATTTTTACTCGTTCACATTGAGTACACTTCTTTAACAAGTACTTCTTCAGTTTCATACTAGTTGTCTACCATGCTACAATTAATTATGATTTCTTAAACAAAAAATGAACAACTTATATGAGTATTGGAATGAATAGTTAATGTTAAACGGTAAAACAGTGGAAAAAATTATCTTTCGGTGGAGAAGCAAGCAAAAGTGAACAAACACATACCAAGTGGGAGACAAAAAAACACTAGATTCTGAAAATTAAATTCACATCGAAAGCCAGAGCAACACAAATTTCAGTAAAAATTATGCATCTCATTTAGTCCAGGTAAAGCATTACTACTACATTGAAACACTGCAGAAGGAAGGGGCCTCACTACTTATTATCAAAACATTAACAAAATAACAATCTACTATTTCACTCCGTTAACTTAAACGGAGAATCTAAAACAAACAACTCTAATATACTAGTCGATTTCTCATTGTCGCCGGTAGACAAAATTTGCCAATAGCTCTGGCAATCTGGAGACAATGTGTGGTAGTTTTGAGAGGATAAATTATAATGCCATTAGAACATCAACACTGGAAAAATCTCCAATGTCTTTGAAATAATTATCCACTTCTAATGCACCCAAGTCTAGAAATGAATCATCAAATTTGCAAATCTCAGGGTCTAATACAAAGTCATTGGTGAAATCCCAAGACGGTACGTATTTGGATGGCGTCGACAAATCATCATTGGCGAAACTTGTTGTGTCGTTAAATAGTGTTTGTTCTGCATCTGCAAAGTTGAAAAATTCGTCTAAGAAGGAAACGTCTGTGGGTAAGTACTCATTTGAATAGTCTGGTATGATTGTAAGTGTCTCGCCCTGGCACTCAAGGTGTTCGACGTTTTGCTCACTGTTTGGTTGTTCCACCAATATTGTGCAATTTTCTTCTGAAACATCCATTTCCACTTTTGTTTCTTCGAGAATTGGTTCGGACACCTCTGCTTCTTCACTGGATTGACTAGTTCTGAACCGCAAAACAGAGGTGGGAGAAGAAAGATTGTGTGATTCATCACCAGATTCATAGCCCGAATTCGAAGCCACATTGACTTCCGGATTCTCCTTCATTGGAGGAGTAATGAAATTTGTTAAAGCATCTGGTCCACGGAGCTTAATAGCTGCATTGTCATAAACCATAGCAGCTTCTTCAGCAGTATCATAAGTACCTAACCAGAGCCTAACGCGACGCGCTGGGTCTCTGATTTCAGCAGCCCATTTTCCCCACGGCCGTTGACGCACACCCCTGAACTTCCTAACAGTTCCATCAGCCGGTAGCTGCACCACTTCCTTCCCTTTCAACGCCTTCTGCTTCGCTTGCAAAGCTTCAGCTACTCGCTTCTTGCCATTACTAGTACTCACAGTTTTAACATCATTAATTGATTGCGTCTCAATACTGATTTCACTAATGTATCTTTTCACACGTTTCCGCCCAAAAAGCTCTTCTTCATCACTTGAAGAGTCAGTTGCATCTGGATCAGTAACAGATATCCGTACAGTCCTCGGAATAGTAGGATTATACTCCGAGGATTTCCGGACATCCGCTACCTTCTTAGGCGGCTTTATATTAGTAACTTTTCTGATTGTTCTCTTGTGTTCGGTATATTTGATCGGACAAAGCATATTGTGATGATCCATTTTTTGGTGAATGTGGTTGCTGAAATGAAAAAATAAAGATAAGATTGTTTTGAGAGTGGCACGAAGGGATTAAAAAGGAAAGGAATAGTCAAAGAGAAGCTTGAAACATAAGGAGAGAACCAAAGACATCTGACAAAAAGAGGAGCAAGTTTCGTTAAAAGATGGAATATATAGTGTTAAAGGGGGCAAAAAGAAAAGGAGAAAGTAAACCAGCACCACAAGCTTCACAGAAACGGAGCACAAAGTTTTGAAGGTGATAACAAAGCAAAACCCTTTTAACAAAGTGAACCTCAAAGGAAACAAGAAAGAAAGAAGGGCTAAAAAGGATTTAGTGTAAGCGTGAGGCTTAAAAAGGTTGAGTGGACAATAAAGGGAAATACCATATGGTCTAAAAAAAGAGAAGGAATCAAAAACTCGTAATCCTATGTTTCTCAAGAAATACTTGCTAGTGATGAAGTGTTGTTCTTTGTGTGATGAATGAAAGAGAAAGTTGAGTTTGTGGAGAGACAGAGTTGTGTTTCTTCAAGTCCGTGAGACTACAACGCCTTGGTTACCTCTTTTATAGGATCCGATCCAAGCCGAAATTCCAATATATGTACATTAGTATTACTTTTATTTATATACTAATATATTGCACAATTATTAAATGTTTCATAAATATGGCAGTAGTACCATACATGTACCCAAAAACAAAATAAGGCAGTAGTACCATACACTATCACATTCTAAAAATATCTTCCTCCTCCGAAGAAAGGAAAATAATGAAATAACTTTTGAATCTTCTAATTCAATAACGGAGTCAAATTTTTCATAAAGGGTGTTCAGAAATAACACAACAAAAGTGGAGAAAACATTTGTTGCTTGTGAGATTCAAACACGCAAGCACTATCTCATTCCAAGCGTCTAAAATCACTAGGTTACAATAGTTTGTTGTGTTAAGGGTGTCCAAAAAATGTTATTTAACCATTTCTTGTATATACAATATTTTTTTTTCAAAAAAATTGAACACCCTAACAACCAAGTAGCTACGCCACTGTTTCTAACTAAAAATGTGTATGACGTATCAAAATGCCCTTTGAATCATGCAATTTTAAATATGTTGTGTAGTACGATGTTAAATAAAAATAACATCAATCTTTTAAATAATGCTATTTTTAAAATTAAAAAGAAACTAGGAAATACTAGTTCATCGGAGTAGTTGTTTTGTGAAAGGGATAGTCACCGGCCGTCGGTGTTAGGGACCCAAAGATTCCGTCGACGGAGAGAAAAAACTACTCGCCGCATATATATATGTAAGTTGAAAATAATCACAAAAGATTTGACACGTATGTATAGTGGGCCCCACAAATAAGGTTGGTCCAATGTGTGAACTTCAAAATGAGTCAGCATTTTATTTTTAAAATCTCGAAGCCCGTGTGACCGGTCACGTGAGGCCCAGGATGCCCGCTCTGTAAAAAAAAATTATGTCGGTCAAATACTTATGCAATTGGCCAACAACTCATTTCTTTGACCAGTAAATACATAATAAATAACTTTTATAATTATTACTGGTTCTTTATTTGTATCCTTTTTATTTTGGTAATTTTATGGAATGATAATTTTTCTATTTAAAACATGCTTGTCAATCAAGTCAATGAAACTAATTTTGGGGCCATACACTTTTTTTTCTTTGCTCAATATCTAATGCTCGATTATTCTGGATTCGAGTCATAAGGCTCTATTCGAAAAAAAAATACTCTCTGCCAAAGATTTCTTTTAAGTGACTTTCACTAACGAAATGACATAACAACGCTCAGTTTGGTTATCTTCTCCTTATATTCAAGTGACTTTCAACTCCTATCTCCCCCTAGGCTGTTTGAATATAGACTTGTTCAACTCAAGACATTGAGTAGGAGGAAAAGTTTATGTGCATTAATTGTGTAGACAAATATATTATGATCAAAATTTCTGATTCTTGGACTTTCCTTTGGACAAAGATGAATTTTGAAGTTTAAATGAATTAAATTTTTTTACTTTTACAGCTAACGTGGTGGACAACCTAGAATTAGCCGCCATTAATAATTTGGTTTTGTACGGCTCTGGGTTTTACCTTCTTTATATTTACTTTATCGAGGATGCTAACTGAACCCACGCGATTCTGGTCTTCGTGGTGAAGACGTACAGCACTAATGTACTTTTCTTTTAGAGCGTGTGGTACAGACGTGCACTGAAGCGTGTGGATATTTATTGCTGGAGCCTTTTTTTTTTACCAGAAGCAAGTGTCCCAATTGTCGACGTTATTTTCAGTAAAAATGTTGGCAATAACAATCTTTCACCCCACAAAGTGGCACATGGACAAGTGAAAGAGTACATATGATACAAATAAATAATCGTGACGAATTCAAAATTTTTATTTAGAAACTTTAAAATATTAAAAAGATAAAATATACGAGCTAGTTGAAAGGAGTTTAGTCAGTGATAGAGCCAGGATAATTAATAGGGGTTTAAATATGAATAAGTAAACATACGAACTAATCGAAGGATTCAACATATACTATATATACATAAAAATAATTTTAACCATTTATAAATAGTGTAATTTTTCATCAAAAAGATTTTTGATGAACCCCTTCCGGCCTAGGTTGTCTCAGCCCAGAGTTCACAATCTATTATATATGCACAAAAAGTAATTTTAATCATATATAAATAATATAATTTTAGTTGGAGAAACCTGAATGAACTCCTAGCCTTCAGCTAGCTCCACCCGGAATACAATATGATTATCCCCTAGGAACTCTGTTTCATTAATTGTACTGTTTCATGGTAAAATTTTAAGTTTTTAACCCCCAATTGTACTTTTTTAAAGACTCCAACTTTAGTTATTTAAACTATATATACACTAATCTTAGCAATTACTAAAACTTTACTTATATATGAATTGATTACTTAAAAATAATAGTAAGCAACACATCATTAGATAACATTTTTAGTGTAAAAATATTCTAAAACATTGGTATACAAAATCTAAATTCAAAAAAATAATGTGAGGAGATTAATAATGAAAAGAAACACAGCCCAACCTATCAATGACTATAACAACATTATTGGTTGCTGGGGTAGTGATTTACTGTTATACATTTATAATAACATCATCAACATTGAAATAATACAAATTTACATTTTGAGGGTGTGTTTGGTACAAAGAAAAAAAGTTCCTTAGTAAAGATTAATTCGATAAATAATTACCTATATTCTTGTGTTTGATATGCAACATAAAATATTGTCTTTAGTATATTATAGATGGGTGGGGGTAGATATGTGGGGATGGAGCCTAAGAGATTGGAGCAAATATGAGGTGTATTGGAGGATGAGAAGCACACGATACATGAATTGTCGCTTGTGAAACTATATTTTCTTACTTTTACAAATCAAGTCATTTTCCTTATTATTAAGAAATTTATTTTTTTCATAAATAGAATATTTTTCAAAAAAATTGATCAAGTAAACCTGAAAAATTTTTAAAATATTTTTCTTCGTATCGAACACCTCCGTAGCGGAGAGTATGGTTTTCGAGAAGAATCCAAGATTGCGGTTAGTTATGGGGTCATAACTTTTAGAATGAATGCAAATTTCGTACAATATTGGTGAAAACATTGTCTTGATTTACTATAATACAAATGTTTTGCAGTTGCATTACCTACAAAAGAAGTGGAAGTGGAAAATACTAAAGGAATGGAGCAAGTGGGAGATGGTACTTTGTGTCTGTCTTATGCTGGCACGTAAAATCAATAAAAAGCTGAAATTTCATTATGTGAGAGTGCTCACATGTTTTACTGCTCTGCGCACATTTATGGAATTGTGGCGCCATACATGCATCTTACCATTCAACCGTTGATAAATTTTGAAAATATTCATTGCCAAGACATAGAATAACAACATAATACAATACTTGGTTATTTGTTATCTTGTTAAATTATAAAATCAAAATAGAATTAATTAAATGTTTTTAATTGTATTCTTACAATTAATTCCTTTTTAATAGTGTAAATGAATTTGTAAAGTTTCATTTTTTTAAGGGTGAGCTCTACTAGCCTACTATAGACACTATAACGAAAACACAATCATTAGCGGCAATAAATATACACATAAACAAAAAGTGATAAAGCTTTTACCGACATTAGTTAATTGTCATTGGATTCAGTGTCGCTATAGGCTTTAGGGATATTATAAAGAGTGCTAAATGATGCTAAAAATACATTTTTAGTGGCAATTAAGTTATTGCCATTAATTAATTACCGCTAAGGATAATTTTTGATATAGTGAGAGGGCATTACCAATTACTACTTCTCACCCGACGCTTGGAGGTGGGTGGCACTAGTCGGTAGGAGGGTTCGTCCATTGGCAATCCCACTGATGTGACTTAACCTTGAGCACTAGTGATGGCCTGTGCTATTCAGGAATTTAGGTGAGCGCGGGGAAGTAGATAGTAGCTGAGTGAAAAGATTTCTATATAGGCAATAAGAAGGCCCTATTCTTCTTGGCCCGGGGTATTTTGTAGATGGGCAAGGATACCAATGGATATGACACGGATTTTGGTGTGGAGAATGACGATTCGTTCAACCCTCTATTGGTGAAAAACAAGCCCTCTAGAGTATCAAAGAAGAGGAAGGTGGGCAAGGATGAGAGCAGGTGGGCCGCAATTAGTTTACTTCATTGAGATACCGATTGGACTCAACCCATACCACAAGCGACAGATCGCACAAAAAAAAGGTGAAAGAGTTAGACAACTTCCTAGAAAATTCTTAATAGCCTTCTGAAGATTAAATGTGGACATCAACACACTAATCCTTAGGATTTTATTCGACGCCGTTTTACTGGGAGATCGATAACATGGGATCTAATACCAAATTATCATGATTCAATCCATCAGACTATGTAGGCACTGATCTAATCTCAAGATACGAGAACTTTTACCACCCAATTTTAAGGCGGACATTGCGGAAATGAATAAAAATAAGAGAATTTCTTTAATAAATTTAACGACCATAACCTAGAGTACAAAATCATCATTTTACAACCAACCAAAAAGAAATCCTCTCGAGAAACTAGTCTAAACATACTCAAGAGTTACTAAGTGAGTGTAATAATATATACAGAGAAAATATAACATAACTCCCACCAAAAGAGTGATGAAGGATACTATTGAAAGTTCTATTACGTCTTGGTTTCTTGTATCCTAGTCTGTATAGGCTTTTGGTCTTGTTGTACCTAAGTCATCTAGAACTCTTGGTTATTTTCTCTCTCTCTCTCTCTCTCTCTAT